GATGGATGGATGGATGGATGGATGGATGGATGGATGGATGGATGGATGGATGGATGGATGGATGGATGGATGGAAAAACAGAAATTTGTCTTCAACAAGGCTCCAAATTAAAAAAAAAGAAAAATAATATTTTCATGCATCATTTGATTTCATCAGAAGTCCCAGAAACAATAACTTTTATCCCTGGAGAAGAAGCTTACAATTATTAATGACTGAACTTCAGAGACTAAACAAATGTATTTCTGTACATTCAGTGTGTACACTCAGTGTACAAATACAACTATAGACATGTACCTGGCCATTGCTCTGGCACCAGTGTGACAGCTTTCCTGGGACTCTGAAGACAAGGCTCTCTCAGAGCCATCTTCACAAACAGAGTGAACCCTAGAAAACAGCAGATGAAGGAAAATGATAGTGACAAAATCATGACTAATTTCAATTAGTAAAAATAATAAGAACAAATACAGCCTTCAGTTGTCAAACTGGTTAAAGTTTGTTTCTGACCTGCTGCCTCCATTTTCGATGACGGCGAGCTCATCATTGGTGGACAGCCGCTGTCTTGATAAAAAGGATATTTCACTGCAGACTTTTGTCATCTTGTTGGATTGGCTCTGTGAGCCTGGAGCACAGAGGAACAAAAATAAACACATTATAAGAGTTTTAATCATCTTAAACTGAAAAATGACAACGCTGTGGCCGACCTAACTTTAGCTCAGTATCTGTAAAGTTGACAAAGTTGTCTTTTTTTTCTAAAGTTGATTAGTGGCCATCTTGAATTGAGTCAACTCCACAAGTTAATTGTTGCACAACTAATGGTTACTTTTTGAGAGTTTCACAAAAACTCTATTGAGTGGTTCATGAGTTATTTTCAGTGCTGGCTCTGGCTATTTTGGTGCCCTAGGTGAGTTGAAGCCCCCCCCCCCCCCCCAACTGTCAAGGTTGACAGTGTAAGGTATTATGGTAAACAGATTTATTTGCTTTACCAGAAAGCAAATGAATAACAACATACTTGTCAACTTGTACGGATTGTCCGTAAGTTATAAGGATTTTATGTCGTTTTGCAGGTATACGGACGTATAGAGCAATCTCACAGATTTTTTACAAACCTCATTTTCAAATTTATCTAACAACAGAGCCTGTAGGATGATTTAAAAAACAATAAATAACATCAAACAGCCATCTTCCAACCTGTTCTGCCGCTAGAAATGTTTTGAAATTTTTCCGCTCTCCTTTCCTCCTGCTTCGCAGCGAGGCTTTCCACTACTGACTGTTTAAACACAGGATAAAAAWATTGGATTTTTAGTAGGGATGTTATGTTTCACTCAAGCCCAGATTCGATTTAATTATCGATTTTGAGTTCATGATTATGATTTTTTTTCAATTTTTTTAAACAAAATGAATCTTGGCCATTTTATAATCAAATATGTTTCAGTTTTAACAGCTTTTTTTTTCCTTGTATCAAACTAACTGTCAAAATATAAGCTGAGGCGGAGCCAGAGGGGTGGCTGGGGTGGGAAGTGCCACCTCTGACATCTGATTGGCCACTCCAAGTGCCACCCGCAAATAATTGACAAGTGGGTGGGGATCTTAGATTTTATGTTTGCATTTAGAATTTATTAAAGAGTGTTTCTGGATCCTATATATACATTTTTAGCTATATATGTTTAAAATGGCTGACTTGGGCTATAGCCCTTTGTAAAATTAGAATTAGCATTAGTGGTTAGTTTAATTTGGGATTAGCAATGACAATCATCATGTGATCATTTCTAGATACTCTACAACAAATTTCATCTCAATGTCTTAAAATGGTTGAATTATAGCAATTTAAAGTTGGCGGTGGTGGACATGTGAAATTTTGGATTAGCATTTGGGTCAAGATTGTTTTTGGCTATTTTTACACTAATCTTCAGCTTTGTATGTCTAAAGATGGCTGAATAATAAGTTGTGACATGCATTTAACTTTTTCATCGTTCTTAATTATGATCACACACATTTCATTTTGCCATTTTGAACTTTTAATTCCAGAGGGATTGTCTTTATTGTATGTGCCACCAGAAAAAAAAWMCCTTGGCCACCCGTGCCACCCCCTTGCAAAAATCTAGCTCCGCCTCTGAATATAACCTGAAAATAAATAAAAATGTCATCACAATTCCTTTTGTGACCAAAGGTTATCAAGTATCAAACATAATTTGTCTTCAAGACATAACTTTCTGTTATAAAATAATATTAAAATTGATTAATTAATTTCTGTGAATGGATTTACATTTGAAGCCATTATAATCAATTAGTAATTGATTCTCAATTAATTGCTACATTCCTAATTTATAGTATTTGTTTGACACAATCAATGTGAGAAGTGACTGATTTCAGGCCTATCCTTTGGTGCATCTCTACAACTTTTAGCTCAGGTATAACCATTTTTGTGTTTGCTGAGGTTGCTCAGCTCAGCTGTGGCGGCCATCTTTAGCAGAATTATCTAGATGTGTATCTAATGATTATTTTCTGAGAGTTTTATTCAAATCTGGTGGTTTGTGTCCCAACATCTTCAGCAGCAGACAATAAACGGTGACTGGTGAGAGTGCTGATGTGTTGACTGTTGGCCACTTTTCCATGTCTGTGGGAGAGTGGCGCCTAAAAATACATCCTGCTTATGTTCTTGWACACTAAACAGGATCAGTGAACCTTCAGCTGGCTTTTAAAAGAAGCTGTGGCTTACAGGTAGAGTGTAGTCGCTGTGTTCAGCTGCAGCGTGTAGAGCAGGTTAAGTCTGTTAAGACCGAGCTTAAGGAGCAAATGCAAAAGTCTGTGACTGAGGGCAGCAACAACCTGCAGAAATATTTGTTTCTGGGCTTTATTTTCATCCATCAGGTGGATTCAGAGCAGTGAAGATCTCTGAAGTGAAACATCATAATTAAGTTTTAATATGTCATCTATATGTTCTCTAACTGCTGAACTCTGGGTACAACCGGTGGTTGTAACACGTGCGCTCGTGTAGATTAGTGCTAATACCAAGGAGTTAAGCAACCCCACTAAATTCAATCACAGTGAGGGACATGCCAAGAAGCTAAGTGTTTGAAGGGTGACGACGGGTGAAGCCAGGTGTGTGTGTGTGTGTGTGTGTGTGTGTGTGTGTGTGTGTGTGTGTGTGTGTGTGTGTGTG